ACAAAAAGAGACACCATGAAGCAAATGAATCAAAGCCCAATAGAACAGGTGACAAGAAACAAAGCTCAAGTATAAACCTTTGAGATAAGTAGAAGAAGTAATGACAGTGTGCTCCGAAAGCTATAAAAGACTCTGGATTTGCCATATACATTTATTTTATAAAGCACATCACTATTCCATTGATGTTTTACTGCTTACAAAAAATATAATTCTGTTGCATAGTGTATTTACATATGACCTACAATGCACTATAAATATTAGTTGAAATTTCTGTGGAAACTGATGTTTTAATTTAGAAATAAATTTGTGGTGTGATTGGGTGACCTACCAGGTCATCCCCTAAACAAATAATCCGTTAGTCCTATTAGTCAAAAATAAAACAAGTATGTAAATAAGTTTGAAGGGATTTTCTTTGGGGTATTTTATTTTTGGAGATGGAATCTTATGTCTCCAAGGCCAGCCTCAGTCTGAAACATTCTATTCTCCTGAAGTTTGGTAGAGATCACATACTCAAAGGCACATGAGAGAAAGTGGAAGGACACTCATTACTCATAGAGCTTTGAAATGGTGGAGCACGCCCAGCACTAGGGGGACACAGATAAGAAGATCTCTGTGAGTTCAAGGCCAGCCTGGTCTACACAGTGAGTTTTAAGCCAGCCAGAGCTCCAGGGCAATGCCAGGTGCCGACTATTCTCCACTCTCTTTTCCTTTTCTTTGCAGAAATCAATGGAAGCCTCTTTGGTCCTAAAGATCACAACTCATAGAAAAGTCAGAGGCGAATTAGAATTAGAACAAAAGCAATTAGGACTAATTTCTTTGACCCTGTGGAGCTGAAAGGGCTGCAGGATTTGACCCAGTAGGCATTTTGAGGGTTATTTGTCACATCAGTCAAAACAGTTAGTCCCTATAATTATGATCATACACACACAAAAATCAATGTGGAGTAAATTAGCTTTTAAGTTTACAATTCCCTTTTAAAATTATCCCTTTAAGAGAGTTTTCGAATTCCATAATTACAAAAAAATAATAATAAATCTGGGGAATCAAAAACATTTTAATATATAATATAATGTAATGCAAGTTATAACATTATATACACAATGCAATGGTTATTTTCTAAGTTCTTTACAACACAATCCTCTTATGAGTTTGTGGTGGGTGAGGGAAATGGTTTGGACTAAATTCTCTAAATGAGCATGGACCAACACAGCAGTGAACAGACAGGCTGTGACGGGTCCTGGTAGCTCGATTTACATCGTATAAACTGGGCACGTGTGGGATTTCCTCACCGAGGGGCGTGCTTTAGTGCAGGGAGGTATTACATAAGAATGCATGAGAATATTTAGATAAGGAAAACATGGGGTTGCTGGGCACTCAGAGTTGGACTCATCCAGCCTGGATCTGTTATTTTCTGGCTGGGAAGATGAGTGGCAAAAGGAAGGCAAAGGAATATGTACTTCAGATCCAGAATATGAGGAGAAAGTTTTATCTTCAAATCAGACACAAATGTCTGACAAGAATTTGGGAAGCCTGGAAAAAAAAAAAGCCAGAGAAAGGTTAATTTCAGTCCGAAGCCCTGGTGGTTTTGGCTCTCAGGCACAAGAGCAGAATTCACTGTTGCTTTCCAAGAGTCTGCTCCCACATTAAATAGCTGGAAAGGAATCAAAAATTGGCAGGGGCTGAAACGTGAGTGGGCTTGCCTCTGGCTCACAAGCCCAATACACAATTTCTGGAGTTACTGACTGGCAGTGGCAAGGACAGGGTTGGCTATCGTGGGTCAGTCTTTTAGTGCAAGCATGCTACTATTAATCTGATATGCTGTATATGACCAATTACAGGACATTCAAAGAAAAGACCCTTTAACAGAAGAGGGCTTGTTTTGCTATCAGGATATCAGAGCCATGCAAACCAGAGACGTTTACTTCTGAACTCCAGTAGCATTTGGTGTCAGTGTTCCGCGTTGTACCTTGGCACCATTCACACACTTAAGGGAACTGTGTGTGTGCCACACATAGCACTTACCCGTAATTCCTTTTGAAAATGTGTCTTTATGATGTTCAGCTTTCAAAGCTGGCCAAACCCTCCAAAGCCTGTTGGCTTGTGAGGTGCAGTCTATAATTTTCCTTAACCCCATTCTCCTGCTGCTATAATATGGTGGAGAAGTTGGAAGGAAAAATACGAAGAAGCAATACCCTTAAGACACACGGAGAAAGGCCAGGCTACTAAAGTTCGGGGGCTTGATGAATATTCTGATCTCAAGATTGTTACATTCCGTGTTCTGTTCCTATCCTAATGGTTGGCTTGCCGCTCTCTCTCAGAACTTCGTGCCCCTCACCCTAACTTTCTTTGTTATAGTTAATCAAAGGAATGTCTTTTCTCATTATAAATCATCCTTTGCATCAAGTTTCTATAATTGTAATGGCAAAAGAGCCAACGTCATGACTAACACTGTGGTTATATTAGTATTTAAACGCTATGGAATGGTATCACAACACAATCAGCTAACAAGGTCCCTGTGTTACGTTTTTTGAATCTATTGTTTTTGTATCAGCAGAAACATCAGTCCTCAAGAAGGCCTCATTCTCCTTGGGAAGTGGATGGGGGATAGGATGGGGGGTTGGTGGGGGGCATAGGGGGATGGGAGGGGGAAAAACTGGGATTGACATGTAAAGTAAGATTGTTTCTAATTTAAATTTAAAAAATTTAAAAAGGAACATACTTGCTTTAGTTATTTTTAATCTCTGCTTTCTTCTTACACTTACACAGTGAAAAGAAAAACATATGAGTTAATCACCTTAAGAAATTAATCCAGGATCAGTGTTATAGCAGGACCAGGGCGAGGGTTGGGGGAAGGAGGAGGAGAGGAGAGGAAATGAGAGAAGAGAGCAAAAAGAAGAGAGGAGAAAGGGCAGCAGACGATTCATAATTTTGTCATGATGTTTGGTTCTAGACTTGCTACCTTGAAACTCTCACAAGCACCTGTTATCAGCCTCTTACTTGAGGCCTGCAGGTCTCACCGGAGCTGTCCATGGGTTCTCAGATGATAAGGGTGATGAGACAGCTGGCTGACTCTGGGAACAGGCACACAATGTGCTCCCAAAGTAATGACATTTCTTATTAAAAGGGAAGATGTCTTTAACTGACTCTTTTGTCTCTTCTGGGACTGACAGGCAATTTTGACTGTTTATTTTTATGTGGCCTCAATAGTTTTGTGGTTCATGCTACTGCTGGCACCAAGTGGAGGCAGAGCATGTCATTAGACGTATTTTGGAGAAAACTGGGTAACAATAGATTTTTTAGAAATGAACTCAAGCCTTAGTTTCAGGGATAAGAATTTGAATAGGAAGGGAGTGATGTGGAATTGGTTGAATTACCCTTGGCTTTCAGGCTCTAGACAAAGTCAGAAAACGAAAACACAAACTATATTTTCACTCATACGCATACACCGCCAATCATTACAAGCTGCTGAGTGCATCAGTTTTTATATCATACCTACACTTTTTAAAGGATCATGTTTTCATTAAATTATGCAATTGTGGGATATAAATGTAGCGCTACTTAGAGAATCAGCTTATTTCTTTGTTTGGCCATAAGTACCTTTACAGAACAGCTAGCTACAGAAACATTACATGGGGTTGATGGCAAGAACTCTTTGGGCCATGTTTCTCCCTTTACTTTGAACACATTCATTGGAGTTCACTAGAAGTGGTTATCAACATTTCTCCTCTTTCAGAACACATGTGCCATGCTAGAATTACTTATGATGTAATGTACAATACACGAATCTTGCAGGCTCTCCCTCAAAACCCTCCCATGCAATCAGAAATCTCCTGGATTTCCTTCTAAATTCCCGCTCTGGATACATCCTTCCTTCAGCTTTGCTGAAACCACACAGGCCTTGGTTTTCCCAGGTTACCATGAAAATTTTCATCTCTGGGGTTTCTTATTTATAATTATCCTCATCTCCCTTTCTCACTTACAATCTGGAAATGTCATTTTTTGTAAATGCAGGTGACTTTCCCTCGTAGTACATCCAATCTCTGAAATGTCATCTCTCTGCAAGCTACCAAAGCTGTCACATTAAATTATTTTGTTATTATTGAAAACAGATTCTTCTCTAATACAAATATATCATGAACAGTTTCCCCTTCCTTCACCCCTCCAAGCCCTCTCCACATATCCTTTCACCTGGATTCATCCCCCTTCCCTCTTCAGAAAACAGCAGGCCTCCAAGAGACAACCAAACCCAACAAAGCAAGACACAATAAGACAAGGCAAAAGCCCTCATTTCAAGGCTAGGCAAGACAACCCAACAGGAGGAAAAGAGTCTAACAAGAAGGCAAAAGATTCAGAGACATACCTGCTCTCTCTGTTAGGAATCCCACAAAACCACCAAGCTAACAGCCATAACATATGATACCCATTTGGGCATGTGAAAGTCAGAGGATAACTTGACGCAGTCTGACTCTCTTTTGACCAACCATGTGACTCCTGGGGGTCTAAGCCAGGTGGTTAGACATGGCCAAGGCTCCTTTGCTCACCACACCATCTTGCCAGGCCCAGAACTGTCCCAATTTGAATAGCTAACCAACCTTATCATTCTTTTTCTTGTACCTGATTTACTTCCCATAGATCAACTACCTCCACGATTATTTTATGTAGTGGGAAATATATGCTCCCACTTACTTCATTACCAAATCTCCTAACAGAAAATAAACTACATGAGGCTTTCCACCCTTCTCACTACCGTTAACTGCAGCCTCTAGAGCAGTATATACCCAGTACACTTCTTCAGTGATTGGATGAAGGAGAGGTAGACGGGTGCTATAATGGAAAAGTAGAGAAGCTAATTGTCAAGTTTCCAGACAGGTACCTTTAACTGACCCCACTACCCCTTAATTCAAAATTATCAGAGCATAAATGAATGACAGCCTTGACTTGATTTTCTATTTATTTACTTTTTAACGCAAGCAACCTTGATGTCAAACTTTATTTTTTAGGTTTCACAGGATCTGATTTGTTTCCAGTAAGTGATAAGTGCATGTTGCAGCCTCTGTCTCAAAAGCTCCCTGGTGTGAATGCCATCGTGAGTGGATTAGAACACAGACATATTCTCTTCTGTGGATACTTTAATTACCTTTGGATCTCACAGATGAAATAACCTGTGTCGGGCATCTAGCACAGGCTCACTTGTGAAGCAATGAAGAAATACACAGATGAGTGAATATGCTACTCTGATCCCAGACATGCCAGAGGGTGAGGTCATCTTAGAAGTCATGCTGTCAGTCAACTCCCCTGGGTCTCATTAAAGAGCTGCCTCTGATCAGTGTGCTTGAGTTTCCACAGGCAAGAAACCTGCGGCAATGTTTTGGTTGACATATTTGACATCTACTTTAAGTGTTTTGTTCTTTGTGACTGGAAACACAGCCATCACGTTTGGTGTTTTGAATTTTAAGAAAAATATATATGTGGGAGAATAAAATAGAAAATATTTTATATACAAAAGACACACCAGACTTTTTAGCACATTTGTATAAATGCAATGAATACAGTACTGTGCTCATCTGGGACAACCTGACATTGTGTTTCTCCAGGCAGTTTATTTATTTAAAGCATTCAGTACTTTTTATATATATACACACACACACACACACACACACACACACACACACACACACACACACAGAGAGAGAGAGAGAGAGAGAGAGAGAGAGAGAGAGAGAGAGAAATACATTCTTATATACACACATGTGAAAGTCTTTACTGTTAAGGGACATTCTTCCAAGCTTTGGTGACAGCAGTCATTGTGGAACTGTTGACATTCTATCCCTAAAGCACTGTAAGTGTTGACTTAAAAATAATTCAGTATAATGTGCTACTAGTTTGAAGTAAAGCACCTGAGAATGAATTCTTGCCATAAGAAGTAGAACTTGACACATTACTCAAACTATAATAGAATGTTTGTACCATCATGATTTAAATAAAATTATATCCTACATAGATGGGGCTCTTAGCTGAATGCCAGGACAAAGCAAAGATTGCAAAATGTCTAGGAGTACACAAATATTCTCACAGAGTGCCTTCAATCCACTTGTGTGTCTTGTTGAGGAAGGAACCTTCACATACTTTATATTGGATGTTATGTTTACCAATATTGATGAGTATTATGGGCACTAGAAAAGCATGGGAACATTACATGAATTGACATGAACTGAGCCATAGTTTCAGTTTCATTGTCTCAAGAAGGGGACAGTCAGTAGAATCTGTACATGAATATGTCCTGGGCATAGCAAGCCAACAACTCCTTTCTAGAATACACAGTGTGCATAAGGCATATCTATGTCTTCTTCATGTTATTTGAGTTGACTTCCTAAAATCTGATTCGTGATCAACTCTGCTTCTCCATTAAAAAGCTAAGTCCAAACAGCAAAGTGTCCCATCTACTCCTCACATGCACATACTAAGCACAGCAACTATGGGCTGGACTTTAAAAGCCTTCTATTTCTACTCACCCGTTTGATTGCAGCAATTTGTGTTTTCTTTGTGCTACAGGACCGATAGACAGATGCAGGCAATGTTTCTATGACCTGACTCTACATGAATGTTTAATGTCACATAGCTGCTCCTTCTGCTCTGAATTTGGGATGCCTGGTCTGGAGCACAAAAGCAGACTCAAGATATCCTACTGGGCTCCCAGGAGCTGGGGTGCACAGAGGCAGCTGTACCATTTACAGTCTAATTGGCAGTGTCAGAGAGCACAGGATGCCCAAAGTTCACCAGGAGGAGATGAAGATGTTGCAGGTCCCCTGAGGAGGTACATCAGGATCCTCTCTCTTCTGCCTCTCTCGATAATGATCTCAACTGTGTATTTCAGGTTGTGGGTTGTTATGGTGACCAAAGGGAAAACACTTGGGAAGCTAGGTGAGAATTTTAGTTGGAGAAGGACTCAGTTTTAACATCTCTGCCTGTGAGGTAAGTTTGAGATAATAGCTGGGAAGAGTGCACAAGTAGGTGGACTAAAAGACAAAGGCTGAGCATGAAATTTCCAGGATAAATTTCCCACTCTTATTGTTTGAAAACACCAAGAACAGACAGAATATGAGAATCTGAACTCTGACACCAGAAGATCTCTTTCTGAGCTAACCTCCACTTAGTGGGTGTGCAGTCAGGACCAAGTTACTCATCCACTCTGTAAAGTGGGAGTGATGATCACACTTACTCTGTAAGCTTTCTTTGTGGAGGACAAAGTAAACAATACCTTGCCTCAAATTAGCAGTCAATTGATCTTGGGATTAATTCTGTATTTCCACAGGAGGTAGTACAGTCTATGAACTGTACAAAGGCTGCAGGCTCAAATGTTCTATATAGTCTTTTCCTCTCTAAGTCACGTTGGGCGATACCTTTTCTTCAGTAGGCTTCACTTTGCTTATCTGTAAATTGAAGACATTTGTAGTAACGATTTACTAATATACGTTTAAAATTGGAGAGGAAACCACGTAAAAGTCCTTAACAAAGTCTCTGCTACATTTTATTCACTCAGTGACATGAGCTGTGATTATTAGTAAAGGAAGCTGTTACTTGTGAAGTGACTGGACACTGGAGTAGATGGGACATATAAGACTTATTTACATACAGAATCACTTTTCTTACAGAATGAATGTTCCTGGTAACTGAAGAATCAGAATCTATGGCTTTTCTTTTCTGTCTCAACTCTGAAACACTACTGTGAAAAGAATAAACATAAGAAGAGAATGTTCATGGAGAATGCCTTTTCACTCTATTGTAAGTTTTGTTGGATTGTTAGAAAAATTAATATAGGGACAATTAAAGCTACCCCACAGCTATTGCTGGTCAGTAAATAAAGGGGGGAATTGAATGTATAACAGTGGCCTAAAGCACAGTGATTTTTATTTCTAACCACATCCAAACTGAGACCTCTGAAATTTTATGACTGCATGGCTAGCTAGCACTGGTAATATAATAACAAATTACTAGTGTGGATACTGGATTATTTTTAGCTGTTCCTCATTTCATCTCATAAGGCAATCACACACTGCTGTGTTGACGATGATGTGACTTTTAGATCAGTCTCTGGTGGATGGTGGAGCAGACACTGAGTCATCTCAGTCACTGTCCCATCTTGAGTTTCTGCTTTCCGCTCCACCGGCAGCGTGCCCTGGAGAATAGCTGTTCTCTCAGACAAGTCACATGAAACTCAACTGAGCCAGGCAGAACCTGGCAAAACAGCAGAGGACCTGCAGCCATCATGGAATATGAAGAATAAATTAAATATTTGCTTTTGTAAGCCACTGGGATTTAAGGGTTGTTGGTTGCTTCGGTGAAAGCTGAATAACAAATAGCGAACCACTTTTTTTTACAGAGGACTTGCTCGACACCCTGTGCTTGCACAAGTATTAAACCCATTTTGTCCTCTATTCCTGTGGGCTAGACATTATTATTCATATTAGTTATATGAGGAATGGAGTAAAAAAAAACTTCTGAATAATACACTGTATAATTGATTAGGAACCAAGTTGGGATGCAATGCAGGCCCATCTATGTCCAAATTCTAGACTCTGAGATTGCGTGGGGCAGCACATTCTAAGGGAGGAAGATGTTAGGGAAACCTGAAAGTTAGGTGGGGAAACGTCTCAGTCAGCACTGGTCTTACAAGAATGAGGACATGATGGGTTCAATACTTAGAACCTGCCCAATAAAAAAATGCCAAGCATGACTGCACACAATTGGAATCCTTGGAATAGGGAGTAGAGATGAGCCCCAGCAAAGGCTATGGCGGTCTGCTACTCCTCCTGGCCTTCACTTTGAGTGCCAGGCCAGTGAGAGACCTTTTCTCAAAAGCCAAAAATGGTGGCTGGTGCCTTAGGATTGATAGCCAACCCTGGCCTCTGACCTCCACACTTACACACTTACACTCTCTCTCTCTCTCTCTCTCTCTCTCTCTCTCTCTCTCTCGCATACATGCGTGCATGTGTACTCATACACAGAATTCCAACTGCACAAGCACTAAGACATGAACATACATGCAAACACATGCACAGAGACAGCCCTATGTAATCAGTTAGTTTCAAAGTTAAGGCATTCCCAATGCTACCTATTCAGTGTAGTTGAACTTAAAATCCTCTTTTAAAGGAATGCATTTATTTATGTGTGTGTGGGGGAGGTTGGGTTGGTGTGCAACTAGCAAATATAACAGTGCCTGGAAGAGGTCAGATGGCAATTTATCTGAGTTGGTTCTCTCCTCCCATTGCATGAGTTCTGGGACTTGAACTCATGTCCTCAGACCTGAGGGCAAGCTCCTTTACCTACTGAATCACATCATTAGCTCTAAAAATTCTTAATAGAAAACAAAAACAAACATCAAAAAGCAATGGAGGTAATATTTTCCATACTGATCCCAAAGCAAATAATGAACGCTAAAATAACAGCAAGAACATTCATAGTATGGACCCTTCTGCTTGACATACCTGACATAGACAACAAAACCCACACTGTACCCTGCCCGAGTGATTTAAATTCTCTTGGAGGAAAGAAGCCAGATTTTTATTCTAATCCTTCTAGATTCTTTGCAAGGTCCCCATAGCCCTTTCTACACAAACCATGGCCTTAAGAAAGGCCCCCAGTGACTCCTTGACTTTCTCTCCCTAGCCCAGCCTTGGGGATTTCTCTCCATCTGACAAATGAATAATTCAGAATTAGAAGTTGCAGCCAGAGCCACACCAGTCCCCAGCCTCCCAACTTGGTCATATCCTCATTATGGGAAAAGCCATTCCAAAAGGCAAACAGCTTTTCATAATTGTTATTTAATGGATATTGCTGACTCCTGGGAGTTCTATCTCAGTATCTATTTGTAATTCAAAGGTCAGTGTAATACCACTGGCATACAGAAGGATTCTGGGAGATTTGTTCCCCTGATTGAAATTCAGATATAGTGACAGTAGATTAGTCTGAATCTCTTCTGGGGCTTCTTGGGTCACTGCTAGGAGGAATTTGACCTTGTCTTAATTCCAGGGCTTCACCAGTCACTAAGAAAACTGACCTATGAATAGGAAATACAGCCTGGAGTGCATGCTCATCCACTCTCTTGGCCTAGGGGCCAAGCCATCAAGGGAGAGGCTGATGCTCTTCCATGGCCATTATCCTTCCCTGTAAGTGGCTCTAATATCACCTAAATAGGTTTCTCCTTAAGGTAATTTAAGCAGAAGAAGATGGCCCCAGAGGGTAATTTAGGACTCATGTACGTACATATTTGCAAGATTTATATGGCAAGCCACATTTAAATTAGCAATGGCAGCCTCATTCCATGATATTATGTATTGAAATATTATTCAACAAGAAAGCTATTTTCCAAGTAGGTATGGGTGATGATTATTTATTAGTTTTAAATGCATCCCTCCTTCCCATCTCACCAAACACCACTTCCATTTTGAATGAGCTTGAAGTTCTTACATGCTAAAATTTATGCATAAAGTCGGACCGCTTAGAGGCATGCATGTCTTGAGACGAAGGAGAGAAATAAGAGGATAAAGTTCATACAGTTTATGGAAGATGTCTGCTTATGTCAAAAGAGTAGAGACAAATTAAAAACCAAAGACTTTCAGCATGGGCTGCCGTATACATGGGGAAGAGTAAGGGGCCAGGGAGTGTGGAACGGGGAGGGAGAGGGGTAGAGAGAACACAGAAACAGATTAGTTTTCATTTTCTTCTTTCTATTCTATTTTGTAGCGTGGTATTTGGAGTTCACTGCTGAGGTTATTTCCAATCAAATCGCATTCAACCCTGGAACAATGTATAGGTTGTCAGCATGAATGCTAGTGGGTTATGGGCCAAACATCTTCCAGGTTGAAATGGAGGATATAAAATTAACTTCTATAAGGTCAACATAATTCCTCCTCCTCCAGAGAAATTCTGACAGGAAAATTGAAGCTAGAGGTTTGAAAGGAGGAGCCAACAGAATCTGAAATAAAAACTCAGAGTAAAAAAAAAAAATCAAACTTTGGAATAGAGAAAGCAAGGTTAATTTTTCTTATGAGACCCTCATCTTCATGAAAAAGGGAGGGGAGCCACCTGCTAGAACCCTCTCACCTCAGTGTGTTAAATAATGGCTTAGACTTAGGACAAGTCTGAAGTGGACTCCAGGCATCTGGATTTGGTAAGTGTATGAGACGTTTAAGGTAGATGTAAGCACAGTAAACTTTTTCTAGGAGTTTCTAGGAAGTCCTAGAAGATTAATTGCCACTAAACACTTCGATGAAGAGTGCTGACCACACGATGCTATGTGTGTCTTGGGTTTTGCTTTATTTTCCAGGTGATGGAGAAGAACTAAGGTCACAGATCAATTGGCTGTGCACACACACCATCATCATCAGAGCTAGATGTTGTTCAGTTGGTACCTGAAAATACACTTAACCAAATTTCAATTTTTCTCTTCTGTTAATCACATTTGTTGCAATCAAGTTTCATTTCATCCTTTCACTGTAATTACTTTTATCAAGGCCACCAGTAATGTGGATTGAAATAAGTCAAGTGTCCATTCTCTGGTACTTATCTTTTTTGACACATCATTAATATCAATTGATGGGCTATTTTTCCTATATTAATAATGAAGCATTGAATGAGCCCGAGATGAGTGGTTCCTAAGATATTCTAATAAGAGTTTCCTTTCTAAACAAAACTGAAAAGATATATTGGCAAGAATAGATAGTGAATGGGCTTGAAAGAGGGAGAAGATATGACAGGTTGTCATATGCCTGAATTAGAGCCATAAAGAGTCAAGACGGTCTG